AATTATTAAAATACAATGAAAACTATTTCAGTTAGGGTTTGTGCAATCAGGATTACCATTCAGTATGAAAAACAACTTCAAATTATAGTAACAACAGAAAGAAATGCCAGGAACTGTAAGAGGGACCAGCATAGCCTTAATTGCGATTACATAAAGCCAGGAGAAGCCTGGGTGAGCAAGCATTTCTTCAGGAGGCATTTGAGACATGGCACATTTTCTGCCTCCTGAACTGCATGGGGGAAAGTTTTCCAGAGGGTGGGTGTCACCACCAAGAAGGCCTTTCTTTCAGATATTAATGGTGATACTCTGTCGGTGGCAGAAAGACAAGTAATACTATGCAAGATTTCTAGATGCCCCTCTAGCCTTGCCTAAGATGTGAAAGGGTCACCAGAAGCACGGTGAAACAAAGGTCTGCAAAGCTCCTGAGCATGCCTCCTTGTCAATTTTTACTAAAAAGCAGTCCAGAACCATTATTTAAGGTCGCTTTCCATCTAGTGGCCTTATAATTTGGGCTTTCAAAATAATTCCCAGTCAACATAGCCTATAGTCACAAATGCTAGAAGTTATAGCCCAAAACGCGAGGAAGGCATCAGGTTGGGTAAACCTGATACAAGGTTCAGTTCAGCACTTACTGTATAATTTGCCTTTTTTGGAGTTATTAATGACCTCACTGACTCTGCCTAACTAATTACTGTTCCCGATTCTTGCTCTTTAGCTGTCCTTCACTACTTTCCCTATTGATACACATTTGTTGGTTCCTATTGCTACCTATTTATCTTACTTTGGCATCATTCTGTCCCTGCATTCTATGACTTTTTATTCTTTCCTTTTTTGATAGAAAGAGGTGGAGAGCATGCTCACACAAGCATTTCTTGATTGTCTATGAAACACTGTTTCTTTAGTGTATTAAGATGAGCATGTCACTTTTATGTTAAAAGCATTTACAAAGAGATGGGTGGGGGAAAAGTTACTTGATAGTTGTGGTAACAGTTTTAATTACACCTACTTATTAGGATTAAGCCTCATTGAAGACAGTGAGACCTACTTCTGAATAAATATGTTTGGGAGAACACTGCACATCATTTACAGTTGTTCAAACAGATAATTTATTGCACAATAGGATTAACTGTAGACCAAACTCTGAAATTCTAAATTCTTCTCTTATTATTTATAGAGGGTAGAAATAATGAAAATATGAATTAAGTCCCAAATAAACAATTTCCTTTTGCAAAAAGAAGTTACTATCTTTGTTCATGTTCACTTTTCTTTCCATCAGTGTTGACTCTTACTAGACCGGCTATACTCTGGGTATAAAGCTAAAAATAACAAGAATTTCACACTTTAAGACATGCTAGTAAGACTCAAAAAGATGTGAGTCTTTTGACAAGTGTTTTATAAATAAAAATTAGTGAAAGAAAAAAGCCACTTCCCTGCTTTGGCAGCAGGCTCCTCTGTAAGATGCCACTTTGGCTTGTACTAATGCTGATATAGGCCACAGTGAGAGCTAGCGTAACAGAGCAGACAGAATGTCAAACCAGGTCCTTGGAAACTGGCATCACAGCCTGCTCTTGGGCAATTTATCTCTGAGCATAACCAACCTCACAGGGTTGTTGTGAAGATAAATTTGAGAGACTGAATATGCCACCCAAAGCTCTGGTGATCTAATGCTAATTAATTTCCCCGTTCCCTTGAAAAATAATAAATGCATTTAAAAGGAAGAAATAAGCTTTTACATTTTTTTTTGTAAAGGGGAAATTTTATGTTTGCCACAATAGAAGATATTGGCATGCATAAGGCACACTGATTTCATTAGAATTGTTTAGATCCCATTTATTCTTGTCCTGAATTTCTTTCTCTTCATCAGGATTTCCAAATAGCAAAATGTACTTAAAATACATTTGGCAAAAATGTGGATATGCATCAATGTAATAATAAAACAGTAATTCTGAAATATGAAATGTTCCTAAGAAACCATGCAATGCAAAAATAAAACATTTCTAATACCACTTGGAGCATGAAATTACAAAAAAATAATTATAATAATAATAGTCAGTTTCTCTCTCTCTGCACATTCTGGGCTGTTTATTTTTTTTTTTTTAAAGGAAAACTAAATGCCACTTATATTTTTGCATGCTCAAGTTATGTCTTTTAATTGAGCGGTATTGTTAAATGTTTAAATGGTAAATGTAAACAAGTAGCCAGCAATTATTCACAAGCTGCTGCCGTTGCCCTGACAAAATGAGTAATGCCTCCCACTTAAGCAAGGGAGCAAGTGGAATCTGGTGAGCTGGTTTACTTGCCACCTGTTCATGTGCTTCGCGGCATCCTGTGCTTGATCCGGGTCAGTGCGGAGGAGCGCACAGGTGATGGCGATGGCAACGGCATTTGTATCTCACCTTTCCACCAAACCAAAGTGGCTGGCATGGTCTTCCTGCTGCTTAAATAAAGGATCCCGCAATTGAAGGAACAATGAAAGGGCAGTTCCATTCCAAACTATCAGGACTACAAGAAGGCAGAGGGGCTTCAAATTGGGGGTAGGTAGGCTTATGTGGAAAGAGGGAAAAGCAAACAAAGCCCGACATGTTTCATCAAATGTCAGAGATAATGTGGTGTGATCATTTGTATTACATATTATACTTGCAGTTAAGGGCGATCATCTGGATTCTTTCTTTAAGGAGATCCAAAATCTATAACAGAATGCTATTTTCATTAGGGCCAACTGAAAAGTTTACAATAGTGCAGCTTTCTCCAGCCTGGTATCCTCCAGGTGTTTGGGACTTCAGTTGCTAGAAGCCTCAGTGAACATGGCTAATGGTCAAGAGTGCTGGGAGTTGTAGGCCATAACATCTTGAGGGCACCAGCTTGGGAATGCTTGCATTTTTGGTTGACCCTAATGAAGATACTGCCCTATGGTACATTTGAGAGTTTTGTCTTTCTATGGCCCAACATGAGTATCTCTCCAATTTTTTAATCTCTTTGCTTAACTAGGAAGAGCCTTGATAAAATAATCTTTTAATTTGACTACTCTTTGCTGAGTAGTCTTTTGGGGCAGAAAACAGCCCTCCAGATATTTGGGAGTGCAGCATTCTTGACCATTGGCTATGCATACAGTGGTTTCTGGGAGTCTAAAACGTCTTTAGAATGGTCTCAACCCTGCCCCGCTCCCTGATTTAGGGTGGGCTTTGGAAAGATCTCAGGCTACAAAACCAGATGGTAGATTCTTGAGAAGGTAGACTGGACTATGTAATTTCAGGCTGTAGGTAGGACATGCTGTTGCTGTTTCACACGCAGAGTTGTTTATTTAATCTGGAAGAATTTTCAACAACATCCCCAAGACTTTTGGGAGGAAGCCAAGCCTGTGTCCAACTCAGCTAATTGTAGGAGTTTTTTTTAAAGCAGCTTAGATGGCTTTTAAAAGAGACTGAATGCATTAACGGACAATAAGAGTATTAATGGCTATTAGTCATGATAGTTCAGCATTTACCATATTTACTTATTTATTTATTTATTAGTGGCAGAGGTGGTGCATCTTTGAATACTAGTTGCTGGGGATCAGAAGGGGGAGCGTGCTATTGATGTCCAGAAGTGTCTCAGACTGTTTATTTATGAACTTTGGTCGTATGCTGTTAGCCGTCCAGAGACGTTAGTAATTGGACAGCATACAAATTTTATAAAAAAAATAATGCAAAACTGGCAACAAGCTACAGCCAGGTAAATGTTCACTACAGAACTACTGTCACCGATACCCTGCCTCTAATGTGCTGTTTGCACATGGTATTTACATTTCAGGGTTACAGTGTTAAAGGACCAATAAGTCCATTCGAATTCTATAGGGCTTCTTGGAAATACGAATAGTATTAGCCTGCATGTGGGTAGATGATTTCTAAACTAGCAAAGATGTATCTTGTACAGCATTTCATTTCCAATTTTCTTTCTTTCTGTTTGCTAGTTCAAAAGAGCAAACATATTATCCAGGGTGGTTATCATCTGGATACATTGTTGGTTTTGCTGCCATAGGCTTAAACAAAAGGAAGAGTCTTATAGCACCTTAACTGTGGATTTGTAACTATCTCTTTTGTTTCCAACTATAGTATCTCTCTAACCCACCTCATACAGAGCTGTGAAATATTTACTGAGTTCAAACACAGTAACCTCTGCTCAAGGGTTGTTGCCCTAAAGATAGGTTGATGTTGAAACATGGGACATCCTGTTGTCCGAATCCAGCTGAGATAATAAACCACATTGGGCAACCCATTTTACACCCCAAAACAAACCATGGTTCTCTTCATGGGATTTTGGTGGTTAACAAACTATGGCTTGTGAGCACAGCTGGGTTCAGATGCTCACATGATAAGCGACAGTTCAGTGACAACCCACCCTTGCAGACTGGGTTAATGGAATATCATACACGCCACCATAGTTTATCCTTCCAAGTGAGCCCCATCAGTCGCTGGGCTCTCTCTCTCAGGCTACAGGAAGCCCAGATAAATTTCGGGGAGAGGGACAGTGCGAGGAACTTGGAGGAAAGCTGTTCTTTTAAAACGATCTGAATAATCAAGAGATAAAAGGTTAGATCACGTAACTGCGTGTGCTTTGCAGAGTGTAATGGCTGGAAGAAACTCCCTACGTCCGGTTTATGTGGACGACATTGTGCCTCAGCAAGGAAGAACGCCAAACTAACGGGCCTTAGAGCGGGGCCTCGTTCTGCCCTTCGCCCCGCAGTCGCTCAGCCGCACGGCCTCCCTCCCAGGCGCTCCGGGCGGCGGCGAGGCGGCGGCAGTGGCCGCCTCCGGGCGGAGCCCAGCCGGGGGGAAGGCTGCGCTCGCCTTGACAGCGTCCCGCCCTGTGCAGCGCTCGCTTCCTCCCTATCTGTGGCGCACACGCGCGCAGCACGGAGGGAGGCGGAGGCCGCCGCCGCCGCCGCAGCAACAGCTGTACCCAGCCAGCCAGCAGCCAGCCAGCCAGCCAGCCAGCTCACAGCCGAGCGGCGAGGACAGCGGAGCGGCGAGGAGGAGCGGCGGCGGCGGCATGGCGGGGCTGCGCTACCCGTCGCAAGGCAGCGGCTACTGCCGCACCGCCACGGCCGTGAACCTCCTGCTCGGCGTCTTTCAGGTCCTTCTGCCCTGCTTTCGCCCGGGGGAGGCGCAGGGCCAAGGTAAGGCTCGAGGAGAGCGGGGCTTTCCCAGGGGGACGGCGTGGCGGGGGAAGGCGAAGGGGCAGCGGGGTGCGCGCGAAGGGGGCGGCGGCCCCCGGGCGGGCCAGCAGGCGGCTCCTCGGGCGCCCCCTCCCCCAGCCGCCTTTGTGCCGCAAGGGCTCGGCGCTGCCTGCTTCGTGGCTCCCGGGCTTGGTAAGGCGAGAGGGGAAAGCTCGGGCGAGTTCCTCCGCGTGCCGCTGGAAGGGCGCGTCGTGGCTTTGTGCTTCGCCCCCTTTCCTCTTCCGAGAGTTGGCTTGCTTTTCGGTGGCGGCGGGGGGCTGCGAGGCGCGCTGGCCGCAACCCCGTGACGGGCCAGAGCCGCAAATGGAGCGGGGAGCTGGCGGGAGAACAAGCGGACTGCGCGCTTGCACGCACGCACGGTGCGGGGTGGCTGCATCCTCTCCCTCCCACCCACCTCCCCGGGTGGGCGCTGCTGCTGCTGCTGCATGCGGGGCGCCCGAATATGCTGAGAGGGATGCCGCCCCTTCCAGCCCCTCTCCGCTCCCCTCGCCCTGCCACCGCCTGGAGGAGGAGGCGGCGGCCCGGTTCTGATCTTTACCCTCTGCCGTGAAACAAGACGATAAATAAACGATTGGCCCCGAGCACGCCTCCCGTGTGCCAGGGTTGCCGTCCTCGCTTTGTCAGGCGATCTGCTGCACCACGTTTTGCGGAGGCGCGCCTCTCAGCCCAGGCAGCGAGCAAAACAAAGCCCGACCTCATGCGTGCAGCGCCCGCTGCGCGAGGCCCACTGCTCGGGGGGAGGATTTCCGCCAGCCCGCACCGTGTGCGGCGGCCAGGCCTCTGCGCGCACGTTTCGCCCTCGGTTCGAATGGCGCTTTGGCACCGAGCGAGGTTTCCGTTTGCTTGCTTGTTTGTTTGTTCGTTTGTTCCCACCCAGCGGCCATCGATCCTATCCCCAACGTGGTGGAGTTGTGGCAAGCCGAGGAAGGAGAGCTTCTGATGCCTGCTCAGGTAAGGGCAGTGTGGGATGGCGGTGGCTGGTTGAGGAGGCATAAGGGGCGCAGGCAGGCAGGCAGGCATCCTCTTGCAGGAGGAGCGCAAAACCACTCCGTCAGCTCAGCCCAGTGGGCCCTACCGGTAGCTACCGGACAGGTGGCCGCCTCAGGCTGCAAAGGCTGGGAGCTGCGGCAGCGAGCGGAGGAGAGTTCAGAGCAATGTGTGCCAGGCCACCTGCCCTCCACCTCCTGAGAGGGCCACATGCCCTCCAGTGCGAGAGGATGCCGTCAGGGTGCCAGTGTTCAAATAAGATTTAACTGCCAGTTGGGTCACCTGCCGCACACAGAACAGGAGAGGGTGCTGCCCTTTCGGTCGCCTCAGGCAGCAAAATATCTGAGGCCAGCCATGAGCTTCCCCTGCACTTGTCCTCTGCACGATTTTGCAAGTCATGGTAGCTTCAGGTTGAGAGATGGCCCAGAGGAAGAAGCAGTGCCTCTGCACCACCTTTCCAGGATTTTGGCAGCAGTTCCTATTTCATTATGAGACTGGAAGAAGATGGTGTAGACATCAAGTAACATGACGCTGCTGGAAGATTCTGAAGCATAGTTGCACCTGATATTTGTAAGGAAGCACACAGCCCTGTTACTGCAGCGACGATTGTAATCCTATGCATCTTTACTTGAGAGCAAATCTGATTAAATTCATAATGTGAATAAGATACATTTGTTCAGTCTTGAGTAAATTCTTTTGTACATGGTAAGGCACTGCATCAGGACATACGTTTTTAGGTTTCATGCTGGTTTTCTCTTTGCAGTGTAAAATATAGATCTTTTCCTCTAAACGTCTCTAATAAGATGATAGATTATGGCCAACTAAAACTGATTTTTGGTTTTGTAACACAATGTAAAATATAATTGGGAATGATGCCATTTTATTAATACACCAAATATTTCTGATTTAAATATTTTCTTTACCTATAAAAATAAATAAATGGGGGAATTAGCATCTTTTAATTCATAATAGATGTGAATATTTCCCATCTAGACAACCATCAGTTCACTTCTTATGGTCTGTCTGTAGTTCAACAGTGGAAAACTTTAGTGAAGATTCAGCAGTAGTGAATTGAGTAACTGCTGCTTACATTGAGAAAATTTCATCTGTGATCACTTGTTTAAGCTGTTTGGAACAAGTCCCATTGGACTCAGAAAGACTGACTTCTGAATAAAAATCTGTAGCATTGTATAGCTTGTAATGACTTCAGTGAGCGGGTATTTTTCTGAAGGCAGTCACAGTCGCCTTCATGAGGAGCAAGTCGTGTAGCACAGAAGCATCTGGGAGACTGGGGCATAAATGTCAACATGTATATTTCTCCTAGAAACTGTTTCTACTATCGTTACTGCACTCAGCTGCCTCTGCAATTTGCCCAGGTGAACAAGCCCTTCCTTTTTGGACTGATGAAATAATTGTCCAATACTAGTTGGGCAGTGGTCTCTGGGGGGCAAATCTAATACCTGAGGCCACTGCTCACGAAGGGGTGACACTAAAAGGCTTTGTGCATTTTGATTCTGCTTCTTCAGCTATCATGCTGCTTCTCTCCCTTCACACACTACGTTGTCTCAGTTGATGAAAGTCCTCTGGATTTCTTTCATGACAGGAGGGGATCCAGCTGGGGAAGGGGGCTCCAGGGTATCTAGGTAGTTTTGCAGTTATACTTCTAGGGTGTGGGCAAGGTTAAATAGTTGTATGCTGTTCTCTATTTAACTGTGTGCTTGTTTTAACATAATATATGAGCCAGCTTGGTTAATTTCTATGTCCTTGGGTTTGTGTAACTTGGACTGAGTTCATGCAAGATGACAAGCAACCCTGTGTGGTTACCATAATTTGTGGAGCTTTTAAACCATGATCTACCCAATAATTGATCAAGTGATTTCTAAGTTATTGTGGTTTTCTACCCTTCCCACTCAGTTCTCCCACCATTGGCATATATCCCATCAGCCCTGGTACCTGAAATTTCAATCCAGGCTGCATCACTTCCTGTCTATGTCACCTGCCTCTTCCTTATTGGTCCAAAGAACTGTTACTAGGCAGAGAAGGATAGATGAGGCTGGATGGCTGAAGTGGCTTCTAGAGTAGCTGTTGTTTCCTCAGATTCTGGGTTTGGAAAAGGCACATTATGGTGGTACAGAGCACCATAGATAAACTCTTGTTTCTCATAATGATTTTTAAAGACTTAAGTTAAGCATGGTGAAATACTGGATTTAAACAATACAAAGCAGCACCAATGGGAGAAAACCAAGGTGCCATGTAATGTTTTCTGAACCCTGCCATTATGTGTAGTGTGTTTGTGAGTTGAGTAGTTAGTTCTTAATGTTCTTCTACTTAGATCCTAGTGAGGTTTTTGCAATGAATTGTTACTGAATTGTTTGGTGTGATAGCCATGTACAAAATTCTGCATGGTATAGAGAAAGTCAATTTTTCTTCCTCACACAGTACTAGATGTGTCATATAATTAACACGATTGCTAGGAAGTTCAGGACAGATACAAGGAAGTACTGCTTCACACAGTGCATAGTTGGACAACGGGGTTTACTTCTATTATGGCAATGCCTCCCAGTTTGGATGGCTTTAAAAAGGGAACTAGACAATTCAATAGACGATCAGGCCAGCAGGGCCTCCTAGACCTCCTGGCTGAATGCTTCCTGCAGTATCAGAAGTATTATGCCTATGTACACGAATTGCTGTGGAGCATGGGAAAGAGTGCTGTTGTACTCATGCATTAAGTGTGGGGCTTCTGTGAGCAGCTGGTTGGCTACTGCGTGAACAGAATGCTAGATTAGATAGATTTTGCTCTGATGCACCCTCTCTCTCTGTATTGTTACCATATATGAGTAATATATGTTCATTTGTTACTTTATTTTATTTACATTGACTGTTTGGATAATCCTCTATTGATTGTTCCTTGTTAGCTTCTGTGAATTTTGTTTGAGAAAAGAAGAGTATGTGAAATAAGTAAGGTGAAACCGGTTTGATCTCCTAGTTTGTTGGCTAACTTTGGTTAGAACAAACCACACTTCCCCCAAGATTGTATGTAATCTGATCGTTTCACAGAAGAGTGAAAGCTTCTGTGCAGAGAAATCAGAGGCAAGGGGCCTTCTACAGATGATTCACAGTAATCTAAACCAGTTTTGCTTACCAGTTTAGCTTACCAGTGGATAGAAATCATGTGGGAGCACATAAAAGGTGCAGATCCTAGTTGTCGTGGTAGTAATGAACGTAATGGTTATTACAGACTTGTAAGCCTGTTCTGATCTTTTTTCCATCCAAATACTCCAAGCTGCATTTCTTTCCTTTTAGTGGGCCACAGTAGAGATTGCACACAGGTTCAGCCTTTGCCTTGTCCCTGCTCAGTATTCTGAAGTGGAAGAGGCTGCTCCACCAATTCCACAGACAAAGGCCTATGTACAGTCAACTAGGTCTAGGACTGAATAGCTTCAGTTAGAGTTGGTTAGTTCTGATAAGAAGCCATTTGTGTCCTTGGAACTAGCATTGCTTTAAAATCCATGTCCAACAAACACAAATACTGCTTTTTTGCCATTTGGGGAAATATTTATTTGTCTGTTTAATCAAATATTCTTTACTCTTCTGGGCCTCTTCCAGGTTCTTCTGACCCTTTTCTTTCAATTTCTGGTAAACTGTCACCCAAGAAAGTTTTTGGTAGCATGACTTCCGAGTCACATATGTACATGAGTTTCTTTTTAAAAAAGCTAACTGAATACAGATCATTGCAATTGCTGAAAGAGACTGAGAACAGGTAGATCCCAAACAAAAGGGCTGTGTTTGTTGATATTTGGCTACTTTTTAAATGCCTTTTAAGGAAGGAATTCAGTTTTAGCTTCTAAAACAGACCTAATGATTTGATTGTTTGATCTTTCCCAGTAGTTTGTATTTTTTGTTGTTGTTTAGCTTGATGCCAAGATATTAACAAAATGTTTGCATTGGCTAAAAAGTGAACTGAGAACAACTTCTTCTTTTAAATACTCGGACTCCAAACTTCTTATTATAAGGATTGGTGAAACTTCAAAGTTTACTGTATGTCTTTGGAACTCCATAAACATTTTCCATATTCTTTAGGCCTACACACAAAACAGTGTGGCTGAGGAAGTTCAAAAGCTATTAATTATGCTTACATTATGCCTGCTTTTAGCTATTTACAGACTAAAAGAGCCAACTTTACTAAGCTTTGCCTAACTGGTCAATAGGAGATGTTCCTAGCTTGCCACAGGCAATTGTGTGAGTGACCTTTTTGCAAACCTGTATTTAGGCTACTTATAACAGTGGTAAACATAAGTCCTTGTTTTCCTTAGTAATACTGTCAGAAATTTTACATTTATTTTCAGTTAAATTCCTGAGAGTACACTTTTATGAAGAAGTTTTATTAGTTTGTCCTAGCCCATTCAATGAATGGGTTGTAGGTAGCCTTTCAGGGAAATAAGGATATTTTTATGGGGCTAGCTTTATTTGATGTATCTTGCCTCAGCTAGAAACTCTCCTAATACAGAAGAACCTGAGTTTTAATGTGCTTTAAACAAGCACATGCAATTTTAACCATAATTGCTGTACGAATTTAAACCATCAAACTGTATATGAAGACAACCACAAATAGCTGGTTTGTTTTGAACTTTCTTTTGTGGGGGCATTGGCTAATCTCTCTTTAAGGGGCACTGTGATTCCTCTTTTATTTGAGTGAGGTTTGTGGGCATATATTAAATAAAATGAAGTAGCTGTGAAGGTTAAGGTTTTAAAAGATGGTCTTGTTCCAGTGGTTAACATTGTAGTTAAATAACTATAGACATTTTCAAAGTATTTGGACTAAGACTGGACATGAAAGAGATTATACAGGTATAATAAATGTTTATACTAATTTTTGAAATTCTGAAGAAAAGAAAGCTACTACCTGTCCAACTGAATGCTGCCCAGAGGGTACAGAAATAGCTGATTAGAGCCCTATCTTTTATCATTAGCCTGATAAGTCTAATCCTTAAGTTGTATACAACTGCTGATGGAACCTTTCTTCATTAGTATTTGCTCATAACCTGTCATACCTTACATGTGTGACTGAGATCTTGTTGGGCAATTTGTACTATTTGAATGATTTTTACTTTAGAGGTTGGACTACACATTGCTAAATAAATAATTGAACCAATGCTATTGGTGACAATTTGGGAGATTGAAAATAAACCCAAATGAGGTATCTGGAACATAATCTTGATCACCATTATAGAATTACAGGCTTAAAAGCTGTCTGGTTTTATTTAGTCTTCATACTCTAAACCACATTCATATTATATTAAAACCCCGGTACAGCCTATTATTTGCTATTTATTTAACTTTACGTATGACTTACATACAGGTTCCAACAATCATATTTAAATTGGTTTTAGTTACTATAACAATAAAAATAATACAAGGCACAGTAGGATGGAACAACATGTTATTTAATTGCAGTTAATTAGGCTTTCCTTTCCAGAATTAAAGACCAGGAGTTTAAAATTTCTTATATTTACCTATTGTCAAAGGATCCAAGTGAGGAAGCCTAACATGTTCTATATAGGAAATAAAAAAAATGAGAGTTACTGCTCACTAGACTTGTATACAAGAATACATTTATTCTTGTTAGCATGTTTTAAGTATATTTTTCTCCCATCTCCCCCCCCACCCATGCTTGTGCACACAGATAATAAACTTGTGCTACAAAGCTACAGCTATTCTAGCCTCAAGGAATTGCATACAATTTGACTATGTGAATGTGAGAAATGTGTGTGTTATATTCTGACAGCCTGAATCTGTTTAATCTTATCAGGGTTTTTCCACTGTCTAGCTAATTTGGACTAGGGTTTGCATTCAGGTTGTGAACCCTTTTCACTGTATGGAAATCTGTGTGTGCTTGTACATCCACAGAAATTTTTCAAACTTAAAACATTATTTGTACGTGTTTCTTCAATTTGTGCAATATTAATATGCATTTTCTATTGAGAAAAGCATTTTTACATACATGAGTTCTTTTTGCATGCATGTTTGTATGCCTATATTTTTACACATAGTTTTGGTAGACATTCTCCTGGAAACGCATTAGAAACCTTGAAAATCCACAGATTTACACAAAGTGCATTCCAGTCGGTGTTCATTCTGAGGAGGAGGTATGAGTGGACTACCAGTGCTTTAAAATGTGGACCCAACAATTTTGTTCTCCATTCCTAGTTTACAAAATAATACTTCTTGCTACTTTCCTGCCAAGGATTACAAGAAAAAAGCTATCACAGCATTGAACAGAACAATCAGAGAACGTTGGCAGTTTGGCAGCTTAGGAAAGAAATAAATAACCACTACCATCATCATCATTTAGAACCCTGGTCCTGAAGCATAGGCTGTCTGCAGAGACTCTTCAAAAGGGAATTGGGAATCCCAAGTATGATTTGAACATCACCACCTGGGTTCCAATATTATGAATGGGATTCACCAGAGTAATTTGCAATAACTTACTGGGCTGCTGTTACTGGGCTTTGGGGACCTTGCTTTCCCAGGGCCTAAGATTATGAATGGAATGCCACTTGTCATCTCTATGAAGCGTTGATTTCCGGGACTCTCCCAGGAGTCTCCATGCAGCTGCTGATATGTGTACATTGGCTTCTGCGTGCTTGGGTATGTGTGTTTGTGTGTTTTCCTTCCTCATGTGTTTATCCTGCATACGTGATTGTTTAGCTCTTCAGTGATATCTTCTCCACATACAAATTTATGAGCTCCCTGCTTTTGATCAAGTGATGAGAACTGACTAGTTGTAGATGGAGAATCCGATATCTTCAGACATACTTGACATCTGAAATGGTGTTATATATCAAAGGATACCAGCTTGTGCTTATAGCAAACCAGAAAGTTCTAAATGAATTTTTTTTAATCTCAAGAAATCTGCTGAATACACACTTGCAAATACTTGCATTGATCTGGGTTTAGTTGCAAGGGAAATGGTATTGGCTATACCGAGGATAGTGGCTGGTGCAAATTGATCTCCACCAATGTGTCCCTTTGCCCCATTCTCACATAACTGCTTTAAAATTGGATGCACTCTTGCAGCTTGCTTCTGCATCCAAAGACATGTCTGGGTGGGCAGTGGGGAGGATGCAGATAGAAGAACCAGAAATGCAGGTGCTTGGCTCATGGGCTGCATCATCGCGCTATTGTCATTTTCTATGAGATAGATGCGTATCTGGGATTCTAAATTATTCTTCTGTATATGGACTGTTAGAGTAAAATTGATGTGGGTGCATTTATGTCATTGTGAAGTGAACTTGTGCTGATATACTTACTTTGGATGTTAACTAGGGGTTCACTTTTGGATAAGAACACACAGTTAATGCTCTTGGTTAACAATGAGCAATATCCAACTAGATGTGTGTTAACCTGCCTCTTAAGGTAGCTCAGTGTTAGCTAGTTTCACAAAAGATAAGCCTCGGAAGCCAGTACCTACGAGCTCACATCCTGTGGGCATATTCTGTGGAAACAGCCAAGGTGTATAAAAGGATGGGCATGGCTCAGTATTTCAAAGCCCCATATCTGAGAGGAAGTTGTACCAAACCCCGCTTGCTTTGAAACCTTTCCTGTTTCTTTAATGCATGTCTATAGCTTGTGGGGCTTTCTGAAGAGTGTACTTGGAAGTGCACGTGGAAATAATATGGCTTAGCTATCTATGCTGCCTTTTTGAAATGTCACGAGTGATTTCACTGAATAATGATGTATGCTTGCTTTGACATTTTCCCTTTTTTACTTTTATAGGTGTTACTTGGGTAGATGCATTTATATAATTTAATATATATTAGACTGTTTTTATTAAGCCAGTAAACTTGATCAACTGCTATTTCCAAAGCTATTGTACTTATTAGAACAAATCATTAGATGTTATTTGTAGTGTTTTTCTTATAGCTCACTGGCCTGCAAAGTGCAGGGGTTAGATTAAGATGTATTGTAATACTGGAGACCCAGTCAATAAAAGTGACATTGAATTGCTCTGATAGTGGGATTGCTGACATACAGATGTATTTTGGAAACTTGCTGACAGGTTTAATGGATTTTCTTTGTTCACTAGGCTGAAACAGAAGAGGATGTGGAGGAACATGCACAAGAGCAAAGGTAAGCAGAGTCAAAGATCAAGACTGTAAGCTAATTTGCACTCTTACACATAGGAACAGAGAAGGAAATTACTTTGAATAATTTACTGTATATTGCATTTTACTAGAGAAATGTAAAATTAACAGTTCATATATTTTGCGTATCATGGTTTGTGAACATTTTATTTGACCTTCTTATTCTGATTGTTTTTGAGAGAAATATTGTTTAAAGATGTCAAACTATTGATATCTGCATGGTATTCCACTTATTTTGCATGTTATTAAACATACAGCTTAGGGCCACTGCTGTGTCCTCCCGATACTGTCAGGGGAGCCATAGAATCATTAGAAATCTTAGCACCAAGGTCTTGTGCCCTTTCTGCTTGGATGAGCCCCCATCCCCTCTCTGCTGACACAGAAAGAACTGTGCTGGGGGAGGGAAGGAGGCTGGGTCATCCTCATTGGCATTCCCACCTCCTTCCTTCCCTGGTGTTTTGCCCAGGCAGCTTAAAATGGCCATCCAGACAAAATTCACAGGGCAAGGTCCAGTGGCAATAGAGGAAGCCGCTGCTGTTCTTCATTCCATGCACTGCAGGCAGATAAACTTTTGAGCTTGGTTGAGGGTGGGGGCATTGAATTGCGCTGCGTAGTTGGGTTTAGGGTTCTATGCTGTGCCAGTGTGGCTTATATCTAGAAGAACCAACATAAACGAAGCCATTCTTAATGCAATTAAAATTAACAGTAAAACTGACTTGCCATCTTGCCATTGGTTACCATTTAAACTCAACATTTTCTCACTTGCTTCCCCATGTCTGGAGATGCCTCCTGGAACATCTGTGTGCCATCTCTCTTGCTTCATTCATTTCCCTCCTCGAAAAATTCCTTTTCTCTAAAGCCCTCAGGGCAATTCCATAGTTCCAGTGCCCTTCTGTAGTTCACTCCATAATGAAGTCTAAGCATGTGAAACTGAAACCTTTGCTTATTGCTTCCCTGTTTTCCATGGCTTCCCCTTCTGCTATTCTTAGCTGTTTGGGGCAGAAATCTGTCCTCTTATGTTCTGTAAAGCATCATGCACATTGATGGCCCTATATAAATCATAAGTAAGACATTAATTTCTCTTGCAATATTGTACAATTTTATTTTTACCCCAAAATGTTAAGGTACCTGGGCCGATATGAGTTTTTTTCCTTTTTAGAGTTCCATGCAAACAGATATTTGAATCAGGTGAAAGTAAATGTTTACAATGCCAACGTAAGTAGGAGCAAATTACTTCTGCCCCTTCCCTTGCCAGCAGGAGATTAATTCCTTGAGCAGATGGTAGTTGTATTACTCCTTGTATATCAGCCAGGGAGAGGGAGGATTTTGTCAGTGGAGGTTGTTGCTATGCCTGTTGGTATATTAAGTTCTCTGAATGTAGCCTTCCTAAAGTAGGATCCACTTGACATAGCACTAGCCATTTTCATGCTTCCAGGTACAAGAATAAAGGTCTCATGTGGTGCTTGCATCCTCTCTCAATAGCTTGTCTGTTCAGGAACAAAACCATGAATGGTTTTTGGCATGTTAGCAGCTCAACTGTAATAATTTATCTCATTAAGTAACTGCAGAATATGAAAAAAACAATCCATGTGGATATTGCTGCAGTGTAGTGTAAATAGTGCCATCCTTGAAGATGATTTGTTTTTAAAAAGTAAACATTTAGATTATTTGCTGGGGCTGGAAACATTGAACTTAGCTTGCCAGTTTAAAATTCACACTGGCTGCTGGTCCATTTTGGATGGAGTTAAAGGTGTAGGTTTTACCATAACCCAAAGCATTTAGTGTTTAAAAGCTAGCTTAATAACTTCCTTCACCCATTTAAAACCACCCGAGTAGTAAGATATGTCTTTCTACCTTTTGGTAAACTTCAGTGACCTTGTTTGGTTGTGGCACTGCCAGCTCTGGACTGTTCTAACCCAGGGACTGCTGGTGTGTCTTTGTGCAAGAAAGGCAACCACCATATGCATACATGAGTCTTTGGAAGAAGGTTATTGGTGTCGTATCTGGTGTCTTCCGTCTATCAGTCAATCAGCACTAATCAGAAGGAAGCACAGGACAGGGTGCTTTAACTTGGAGTCCTGCATTGAGTGGGGGTTAGAACCAATGACCTTATTTCCCTCTTCAGCTCTACTATGATTGTGTGGCAAAGTTTCCACTAGGTGGTAGATTGCCCCTGGAGGTTTCACCTTATTTAACAGAGCCTTTTGCAACCAGCTGTCATGCAGATGCATTGAAATTGCAGCTTCCTTCATCCCTAGCCACTCATTTTTTGGAAGTAGTGTGGTCACAGAAGTGCAGGACTTCTGGGAGACAGTTGCTGGTTACTGCCAAGAATTTCTTCACATTAGGCCACAGAAAACTTCCAAAGTTATGCTTTTTAGGCGTTCTGAACTCATGACCTTGGATTCTTGCATAAAGATGTTCTTTAAGAAATTGTATATAGTGACAAGGTCACGTACAGCATATAACCGGAAGTCTCCAAAGCCAAACAGTGGCAGATTGATGAAAGTTGGAGACCACAATTTTATACAAACTTACTAAGTGCATCAAATATGTTACCCTAATTTCAAAAAAGAATAAAGTACCAAGTCTCCATTTATTTGTTGTGTGGAACCTTTCAAACTGTGAACCTCTTCTTAATAGACTTCTCCTTAGCCTTTTTTACTTTGGCTCTCCCACAAACATATCTGTGATGTACTAAGGATTATAAACAGTGAGTTTATTTCCTTAACGAACTGTTATTGTTATGCATGTTCCTGGGTCATTTCCCCCTATTTTTGATTTTATTTCCATGAAGCACATTCCTATTCATCTAGGTCTTAATTATTTCAGTCTTGGGTGGCCTACCTCTGCATGCAAGCCAAGTTTTTTTTACTGATGATATTAGCTATACATTGGTTGTTGTTGTTGGATAAAAAGTGCAAAGCAGCTACAGACTAATAGTGAAAGTTAAATGCACAGCAGTTTCTAAAGCATTGATAAAATATACTGCAGTTTAAAAAAACAGATTTACTATGTAGCCAAAGCATGAGAGTCATATCTAATGCAGTATTCTTTTAGAAGCCTGAGCTAATTTTAGAAATAACCAGTGATGCGCAGAGAACTGACTTCCTCTGCCTGCATGTACGTACCTCAGAATATCTATTTAAAGTTATTTAAAGTGATGTGTATGCAGATAAGCTGGTGATAAGTCTCTTTCCTTTATGCCAGTTGTCTTTGTTAACTTAGAACTAAATATGTAGCAGTAGTTGTTCATCATGCTAGAATGTCTGGGATAAGCAAACATTTATCAGAACTCTTTGTAGCATTATAGGCAGGTCAAAATTGTAAAGGCCAAAAGGAAGGGTTGGCTCATGAGTCTCTAACGGTGCTTAGTTTGTGGGGAAAGGATGACACTTTACTTAGGTCAGGATAGAAAGTCTAGTAAGTTAGAAATTACGTGAATTCATTACTCAAATCTACTTTCTTCAAAGGTATTTTTGGAAAGTAGATATTGCATGAAACTGGATTAAAATATTTATTACATTTGAATAGTTGCTATTAGCTGCTAGAGACTTCCCTTTGTTCTGGTAGGATTTCCCCTCAGTTTGCTTGGGCAATGGTGTGGAGCAACAATGTCAATTGTAGTAAAACTTAGAACACCACATGGGTCTTTTCACTTACAAAGGCAGACTTTGCTTGAGAAAAAAGGAAGGGGTTGGCCATTCTGTAATAGCCACTAATAACTTTTATGCAAAATGATGGAAGAGCAGAACTGATCTTGGTAAGCTCTACTGTGCATGTGTGTTAAGGGGTAGAGTTAAAACTTCCTCTGAACTTCTGCAAATTGAAATTGTAACAAACCTATTTATGTTCCAAAAATTACCACTGATCGCTATCACAGTATATCAGCCTTCCCCAACTTGGTGCTATCCAGCTCCTGTCAGTACTAGCCAGCATGGCCAGTGATGAGAAATGCCAAAAGTTGTTGTCCAGTTATCTGGAGGGCACCAAGTTGGGGGAGGTGCAGAATTTATCTTGGAAATGACATTTTCAGAGATCTCTGTAGGCACTTGTAGAAATACTGATCCCTGAAAAATGGCCATGTTCCATTTCATGTGAAAAAATTCCATTTTTTTGGATGTTTTCTGTATCTTTGCTGCATTTTGAAGCTTCATAGCCTTGCTGCTTGCCTTAAATTTACTTATATTCTCTGGACTGATATCTATTACCTTGCTTGATTTGTGTGGCAGCACTTTAGTTAATCAGATTTATAAGCACTAGACTGAAAGGAGCTTCACTTGCTTAACTGTACCTCTCTTCAGAAGACTGGATAAATTCTTAATAGTTGTAAGCAGTCACAACGTATTAGGAAGTTATGAGCTTCATGGAAAATGGAATGGAAATAAGATCTTGGAACACTTTAGGTGGAGATGAAAACTCTTACATCAGGTTTCACCAGCCTAGTGTCCTTGACATGTTTTGAACTGCGGGTCCCATCAGCCTCACTATCATGACCAATGGTCAAATGTGCTGGGAATGATAGCAAGAAACATCTGGAGAGTATCACTTTGGGGAAGGCTCTCTTGCATAGTTTTATAAGTGTGCATATTCCTAAGGCTAAGCTCCACCCTCAAGCAGTGCACACCAATATCCAATGCAAGATCTGGAACTGAATATATGGTTTATTTGATTAACTTGTTAGAGAATGAGGGAATTCACTTTACTAGCTGCACTGAGATCTAAATTAATGTAATAGATCAGAGCAGCAACAATAATGCTTGTAGAAAGTTCCCGTACAGTATTACAGTTTGCCCTAAATTTAGTTGCATTCTCAGATGGATACAAACTATTATCTTGCTTAGATAATAGCTGTTCCTAGCTGCTTAAATGGAAGCCTTCCGAAGAAATGAGCAGCTTCTCCCTCTATCAGCCCCTAGACTGGTGATGGAAAACCTTTTAGAGACCGAGTGCCCAAACTGCAACCCAAAACCCACTTATTTATCG